GTATGAGAATATGAGCAGAATAAACATCAGAAATAATATCAACAGGTAAAGTGACTTGAATGGGAGAATTATCAGATGGATATGAATAATACAGTAAGATATCAACAGGTAAAGTGACGGTGAAAGGCAGAATTATCAGATATGAAATAATACAGTAGTACTGATAACAGTAAATATCAGATATGTAGTACTGTAGTAGTACTGATAACAGGTAAAGTGACTAGTGACAAAGTTACTAGTGAATTATCAGAAACATTTGTGCAGACTCAGCAGTTCCTGTTACACATTCTCGTTGTACAGTCTGACTGCAGCAGGAAGGAGAGACCTGCGAAACCTCTCCTTCACACATCGAGGGTGAATTAGTCTGTCACTGAAGCTGCTCTCCAGAGCAGAGAGAGTGTCCTGCAGGGGGTGACAGTCATGGTCCAGCATAGATGTTAGTTTGCTCAGGACCCTCCTGTCCCCCACCTGCTGCACTGTGTCCAGGGAACAGCCCAGGACTGAGCTGGACTTCCTGGTGACCTTGTCCAGCTTCTTCCTGTCCCTCTCTGTGATGCTGCTGTTCCAGCAGACCACACCGTACAAGATGGCTGATGCCACCACAGAGTCATAGAAGGTCTTCAGGAGTGGCCCCTGCACTCCAAAAGACCTGAGCCTCCTCAGCAGGTAGTCGGCTCTGGCCCTTCTTGAAGAGGGCGTCTGTGTTATGAGTCAGTCCAGTTTGTGGTTCAGATGAACACCCAGGTACTTGTAAGAGTCCACTCTCTCAATTCCCTTTCCCTGGATGTACACTGGGGCTGGAGCGGCAGAGTGACGTCTACGGAAATCCACCACCATCTCCTTGGTCTTCCCCGCGTTGATGAGGAGGGTTTGGTTAGGGCCTGTTTTTCTTCAACAGGGACAGGGAAGATGGCTAAAAAATGTATGGGAAGATGTATGGAGCCAAATACAGGACCATTCTGGAAGAAAACCTGTTGGAGTCTGCAAAAGACCTGAGACTGGGACGGAGATTTATCTTCCAACAGGACAATGATCCAAAACATAAAGCCAAATCTACAATGGAATGGTTCACAAATAGACGTATCCAGGTGTTAGAATGGCCAAGTCAAAGTCCAGACCTGAACGCTCTCAGGTCTGGACGCTCTCCATCCAACCTCACTGAGCTCGAGCTGTTTTGCAATGAAGAATGGCAAGAATTCCAGTCTCTCGATGTGCAAAACTGATAGAGACATACCCCAAGCGACTTGCAGCTGTAATTGCAGCAAAAGGTGGCGCTACAAAGCATTAGCGCAAGGGGGCCGAATAATATTTTACGCCCCACTTTTCAGTTTTTTATTTGTTAAAATAGTTTAAATTATCCAATAAATTTTGTTCCACTTCATGATTGTGTCCCACTTGTTGTTGATTCTTGACAAAAAATTACATTTTTATATCTTTATGTTTGAAGCCTGAAATGTGGCGAAATGTTGAAAGGTTCAAGGGGGCCGAATACTTTCGCAAGGCACTGTATCTATCAATCAACACCATTAAATATTCGGACATTACAGTATACATATACATCCTTAACACACATGCACGGACTTTCTCAGAATTTCTTATTGTTTTCATGACCAAATTACTATTTCAATGTGACAAAAAGCGATCGCGAAAAACCCGGAAGTAACCATTGACATGTAGTTACAGGGAGCTAGCTAGCTTAGCCGTTACCTGCCGAGCACGTCCTGGTGGAACCTGGGATTTTGTTTGCAGTTATTAAATACATTTTGAATTGTAAGGGCTGTCTAATATGTGTTCGAATATATATATTTTTTTAATTTTAGAATTATATTCGAATTTTGAGGCCGAAGCCCTAGTTTTTAGCAGCGCTGTAGGGGCTAAAGGACGCAGGCTGTTCGCTGCTCGTTCTGTGAGTGGATGAGAACGAGCGGCCCGCTCAGACTCTACTCAGCACTTTTCACTGCTTGTAATTCTTACACAGCTGAATCAATTACCTCAAGTTTTCAATTGAATTACGGATTATAATACAACTTGTATGTAATAAGGATTTGTATCAACTACTTAGAAAAAAAATCAGGTATAGCTTCTTTAAGTTCTGTTCCACATGTGTGTCAATGCTGAGGGGAGTGATTTTTTTTGGACCAGTCTAATTTAGTCGCTGTGAAATTTTGATGGCACTCGTTAAATGAATGGGGCTCGTGCTGGCTGACGCATGCACAGACGCGTTTTTTCACATTTTCCAGCCTCCGCAGCCATTTTGATACTGCCCATAGAACGCGGAAGTTGTGGCACATTAGTTAGACCGGCCGAGATAGGCGTGAGTCATGGAACCATTATAATAGCGTGACTACGTCCGTTAATATTTAGTCTATGGTTGCGCCAAATACGCGTGCGTGCCTCTCAAGCACGTGCATAGAGGGGCTCGGCCGCACTCTGACCAATCAGCGCTGCTGATCAGAGCAGCAGCGGTAGAGCGGAGTCAAGAGTGGGAAGAAAAGGAGCAGGGTTTGTGGTAGTAAACCAAAGGATTTAAGAAAAAAAGTTCAGGATGGCATGGGACACTAAAATCCCCACAAAAGCCAACCTTTATGAAAGCGGTCTGTCAACCGAGGTTGAGCAGTTTTAGTTCACATCCAGTTCTACAGGGAAAATTTCTGGGTAGTCCACGTGAATTTATCTTTTAGTCTGCAGTACTGCGAGAATCCCCTGAGCACATGGGTTCTTCAGCTCCAAGCTAGTAATACCCTATCCAGTTACTATAAGAGAGTGGTCGGAGAGCTGCATCCAATTCACATGGCACCAGCCCCTCCTGCAGATGGCGAGTCCACAGGGGCCTTGACCTTTCAGTGGGGGCTTCAGGCAAAGCGTCTTGCCCAATGACACAACGACAGCAAATATCAGAGGGAGGGAACCCACAACCTTCTGGCTCAAAGCCCTATGCTCTATCAACTGAGCCACTATTGCCCCACCTAGTTTAAAACTATTTAATTAAAAGATAAAACAATTATAAAAACAAACTTTGTTTGAAATAACATTTATTGAAAAGCATGAGATCAAGATAAATGTAAAATACAATTCTTATGAAATGAGGAAAATAAATACAAAATAAATTATAGTACAAAATTTGTCATAAATGTACACATTGGCCAATAAAATATTGGTGTTTGAGAGGACAACAGGACATAATTGTTCTAAACAAAAAAAAAAGCTTTATTTTTGAATTTTGAAAGCCTCCTGAGGTAAAAATTACATAAAGCTCCATACTCAGTCTAAATGCCATTCAAGCGCATGAGTAACATGGTTCTAGGACAACACACACAAGCCCAGCAGCTCCCACTACAATGTACCATTGCTTTGATTTTACCTTTTAAAAATACCAAGGGAGTAATGAAAGGATATACAGCAGAATAATTATAGCAGCAATATTGTTTAGTAAACAAAATAAAGAAACAATCGCCTAACAATTACATTCCTGCTTTGCATGATTAAAATGGATTAAAAGATCCAACTTTAAATGTATTATACCAAGAATTGCCATTATAAAAAGGTGCTATAGGCCCAGAGTCCCTTTTCTAAATGCTGCAATTTACACATCAAGAGGTTGATATAATCAAGGCATATCAATTTGTAGTTTGTTATTTTTTGTCTCAAACCTGAATAAAAGTTGTACATCAATAATGCCCAGTTACAGAAAATACTTAATTTTAACCATTTTGAAAACAAAGACGTCTGCTAAAAAATCCCAGTACCTAAAGTAAACATCACTTTGGCCTTGGCAATTCAGAATCATAAATGTGCGTCAAAATATATATATGCTCATCTAAATCAACAAAAAAAGTATTAACCTCTAAAGCATTAACAATTTGTACAATCTTTTATTAATGTCCTTTTTGTTTTTAATATTTTACCATTTGGAAAAAAGTAACCCATTTGCATAACTCTTTGTTCAATGCCATTAGGGATATCACAATAAGATGGTCCACAGTTTCAAAAAAGAATTAAGCTGACAAAGTCAACAACATGTAAAACTGGCTAATCACTTTGGAGATGACAAAGCACAATGACAAATGTTTGAAACAGAGCAGCCACCATCAGTGTAGCCCTAACGCAATCAGTTTAACTTATTAGATACTTATGAATTTTGTCTAGACCAGCTAGTCATCTAAAAACACATTGACATGCTTTTTATTCATTATATCCATGTATTCTTCCATAGGAAGAGATTTCTTGGAGAAATGATGGCATGACAGTATGGCCTCTGCTGACACATAGATTTAGGACACAAAAATACTATCATGCACAATAATGTCCACAAGCAGGTGCATGCTCTGGCGCTCTATAAAAAAAAAAATAGATTTTTTTTTCACATACCATGTATTTGACATATTATTTACTGCTGTCACAGTGCATGGCTTACAATTGATCTAAAGAAAAAAATGTTTTGCCATACTTCGCAATTTATTTGGTAAAAATTTTACTTCAGCTATTGTAGCTTTTGAGTATGAGCATTTGTGCTAACAATCTAACAGGCTTATCAGAGTATAGAATTTCGACATTTGATTACATCCATTATGTCTCATTTTGAGTAATAAATACAAAGGCAAAATGTAGAGAAATCAGCCTCTACCAACAATAGACTAACATCTAACATTAGATTGAAGAGTTACAGATTCCTGATAGATATTCATGTAAATTATGCAACATTATAAGTCGTATGTTTACAGAATAAAACCCAACATACAGTATTTCCATCTCTTTTAGCCTGCGCAAAAAAATTATGGCAAATTTTATTGGAGGATCTCAGATTTGATAGATAGAAACTTATTTGATACTAGTACTATCATGGATATGTAGTTTTACAGGCAATAAAATGTAATGCAGTTTGGCTTTAGTCTGCGGGTATCCATTTTGGACAATCTCAAGACCAACAAAATATTAAAATTCACTTGGCAAGGGGCCTTTTTACAGAACGCTTTAGCAAGGGGAGTAAATATGATTAACCGTCACAAGCTTATTCCAATGTGAAAGTTAGAGCTGTTTTCTGGACCAGGATTGGCTTCGGTGGTAGTGGTTGGTTTAGGAGGCCAGTCAGGGTCCAAACTTAGCTCCTGAGCGAGATGCATGTACCGGGCCTTGGGAATAATCTTCTGAGGGCAGCACAGTCGGACCAAACACTTGTAGACCCGGAGGTCAAACATCCCCTGAAACAAATAATTATTCAAAAGAAAATTGGCATAATCATAGTCTCTTGGAACTATGTAAATACGGTGGCATGCTACAGGTCCGCAAACTGCACAGGCTGCAAAAATACAAGCACAACACTATTATCTAAATGTAACGCTCTTACTGCTTAAATACCACATGTTTCAGAGGAGGACTTACACCTTCGTCAGAGGTGACACGTGATGGTGTGACGTGTTTCTTATTAGCTGTTACCAGATGCGTACAGTTTGACAAATCAAACAGCTCCATCAGATGTCCTCCACCGAAAATGGCAGGTAATTAGGCAGTACCAGCTTATTTACATTACAATAACTTTCCAAGCACTAAACATAAGACAATATGAACTTTTTACAATCAATGTATGCACTAAAAAACCCCAAAAAGAACGGCATTCCTATCAGCATCTCAAAAAGAAGCTCATGAAGTAAAATAAGTGAGAACTAGGGGTGGGCGATATGGGCAAAAATAAATATCTCAATATGTTTTTCCCAACTCCCGATAATGATCGTGTCACAATATCTTTAAAATTAATAATTTTAACATTTCAAACTTAAACTGAAACACATACAAAAAGGCTTGCTCAATTTTTACTGAAATTTACAGATAAAGCAGTGATTGGCGTTTTAGGCACACATTTGACGAATGGGCATCTTGACTACTCTAATGTAATATGTATTGAAAGAAAAAGAAAAGACAATACAAAAAAGCATATTTTCAAATTCACTTTCGGGATATTATTGTCTACGATATATTTGGCCCACCCAGGGTGAAAATCTAAATATTACTACGTTCTTCCTCGTTTCCAAGGAGTATTTCTAAAGTCTTTCAAAAACATTTAAAAGACCTTAAAGAGTAGAAATAACTAAAACATTTACGTTTGTATAGTACGCTGATCTTATCATTTGGTTGACTACTTTTCCTTAGTGCAAACTTTCATATTCAGTACGTTAAATAAGAGGTTATAAAGTAAATGGTCATAAAAATACAAGTCAAGAGTTGTGCACATGCAGGTTTGAGAGGTTAGATGTCGGAAGGAAAGATGCAGTTGAAGGTGACAGGATACAGTGATGAGGCTAGAAAAGTCAGATTTTCCCAACCTGTGGTGGCGGGGCAGTAGAAGCGACGCCAAAGCTGCCCCGTTTGTCTCGGCTGAACACAAGCTTCCATAAGACGATGTCAAGGATGAAGCTCTATGAAATAGCGCAGTGTGCAGGGGCAATTAATCAATTACAGAGAGGCTTCTGTGATCACACATTTCCTAGTATTTGATTATGAAATGGCTTTGCTGAGACCGAATTTGCAAAGGTTTGCAATAATTAAAGCAAATTCACACTTCACTTTGGTGTTTTATGATTAAATCATAATAGGAATTCTTCTGTGAATTAGTAAGAAAACAAGAAAAAGAAAATAGATTTTTCACTTCAGTAATTATCCAGTGTTAAGCGTAAATGATGTTTGCTAAGTGCTTATGCAAGTGGAGACTCATTGGAAGTATGTGACAGTCTCATTTAGTGCCATTTTAAATGTAAATGCAAAGCTGAAAATGCAGAGTTCAACCAAAAACCGCATTATTACATACAAATATATAAATTGTTTTCCATCAATTGACTTTCCAGGTGGCGATCGTGATTAGAAAAGATGAAAACACTGCATGAGAAAGCAAACACTGCACATGAAAAAAAAAAAAAAAAACGGTTTGGGTAAAACATGTTTTAGCAGTGACTTACTTCCATTAGGACAGAAACTGCCGCATTTACAACAATGACCAGCAAAAGTTTGATTCTCCAGTCAAAAGGGACGCAAACAATCTGTATATGAGAGGAACCGTTAAGGAAATTGAATCAAAATGGACAAAGGTTATGTTGGATTATTCTTACCTCTAGAGCATCATCAATCGCATCAATGGGATAGAGCATTATGAACAGCAAGAAAGAATATAATATCAATGTAGATACGACAAAAGGCCCTGAGACACACACAAAAAATGTTTTAACATGAATTATTTCCTACAGGGTCCTAAACACTAGGATTAAGTCTTACAATTCTTGTAGCTAGGTTGTCTAAATGGTTTTCCCTTTGAGAAGACAATTGCAACAATAAGATATTGGAAGGATGAAATATAAAAAAGGCTGGTGTTTTCATAGTTTTGTATATTGTGGTCATCAACTGTTGTGTGATTGAGGTCTGAAAAATTACTTGATTTGTTGCAGACACTGGATAAGGGAAACAAGGTAATTTTAGTCTGATTGTACAGCGAGTAGCATTATGAATATAACAGTAAAAAAGACCCTTACTCGGACTGTGGAGTCCAAACTTCGTACCAGGACTGCTCTTTGACCCAGATGAATGTCATAGTTTGGAAGCTCAAGCAAACAATGATCTGGGTCAGGACAGAGAAGAGCAGAGGCACTGAAATCAAACCTGAAGGAGGACGCCGAGACACCAACTCTTTCCAGGCGGGATTCAAACTCACTGGAACAATGAATAGAGGATTAATCAAACTGCATCATGGATAAAACCACTAAGAAACCTTTTCTGCACTTACTGGTAAAGACAATCAGGAGGATGATGGCAAGGTCAATGAAGAGAAACTGAAAGTCCCCAAGGTTACTGAGGATCTAAAATGAACATTACACATTATAGCTTTGCTTTGTAAGACTGACAAGCATAAAAATATCATACATGTCCTTACAGAATACAGGAGAGTAACACTTATATATTGGATGATGCTGTAGAGGGCCATAAACTTAAACACACAAAATGAGGTGATGAGAGCAGCACGTCCTTCCCTGACAAATTAAAAGTGTATAGTCAGTAAAATAAAACCAAAATCTGTTGGTTTTTTACTAAAGGCACACAAGTGACGCACCTGATGAGGCTGGGGACACAGGAGATGTTTGGTGTTCTGGAGGTGAAGGGCGAGGCCACTGAAGCTTCTAGTTCTGACAGAGAGATCCCTCCATGTGCCCTTTTCAGAGCCTAGAGGAGGGTTTAAGTTGATCACCAATTTGATATACAAAACAAGTGAAACTCGGAACAAGCCTTTCAATTCAATTACATTCTCTATTTACAAAACTTCATGGATAAACAAGTCATACATAGTCTAATTTCTGTAAGAGGGAACTCAGGATAATTGGCTCACAGCTTGTTAAAACCCAAATAATTTTTTATAATTGGAAAATACTTGTCATATATCACTTTGCATGTGATGAGTCATGTATTGGTTTCACAGTTTGAATTACAGAAATAAATGCAATTTTGAACAATATTTGAACTTGAGTTAGACCTGTGTGTTTGGACACCATAATAAAATATGGAATGTTCATGTGAAGAATAAAAAAGCATTATGCATGTCTTTGGGGTCATGTCTTGTTCATACCAACAATATTGGCTTGATCATGGGTTTCTGAACTTAACCATGAAATATAAAATAAAATTGTAGGATGCAGAGAAAATACATACTCCACAGTCATTTGCGCCATCTCCACACATGCCAACGTAGTAACTGAAAAGAAGGGAAACCATTCAAGTCATAAATACTGACAAGAACAACTTGACAATACATTTTAGCTGAAAAGAAACACTTACTCTACACCTTGTAGTGTTTCAATGAGTTGGGTTTTCTGGTCTGGCGCCATTCTGGCGAATACTGTTCCATGCAAAACCAACTTCAAGACAGAAAAGTCGTAAATACTAAAACAAGTTTGCGCTGATGCGATCCTCTTAAGTGTAAGTAATACCTTTTGCAGCATGTCGGGGAAGTGTTCAGCTATGACAGCGAAAGACTTTCCGTTCATAGCAAAGTGGAACAATTCTCTGGTTTTGGGCTCATCCACATGGCACACATCCTCTAGACTGATGTTTATTTCCTGAAGATGAAATGAGTTTGTATTGTGTGATCGCACTAAAACTTGTAAATGTTGGCACTGTAAATTGGTGTTGGTTTGAAAAACATGATTTAAACCAAATAACAAATGGAATTGGCTGGTCCATGTATAGACTGGCACTGCTCGACTAGTTTGAACAAAACGTCCAAAACTAAAATTATAATATATTTCATGCCTCTTTGCCTCACCTCTAGACGAGTTGCTTTGCTTGGCTTGTCAGCGTATCTCCAGTTGATTCTGGCTGACTGTCCATCATGGGGAGGAAAGGCCTCTGCAATGATGACTTTGTCCTGAGGAGAAATCATCCCACAGTCTCTGGCTACGGAGATGGCTGTCAGCATGTTGTCACCTGAAATCAGATTTTAAAAAAAGGGACATGATTGGGAGAAAAGGTCAGGCAAATCAAATAAACTAAGTAATTAGACAAATATCAACCGAATTATTGGTGCTTTTAAATACTGTACATCAGTTATAGAATAATCCAAACCACAGGAGTAGAATGCAAGAATTGTATGTAACAGAATCCTTTGGAAGTCTGGGAAATTCTCAATGAAACGTTCAAATTTAAAAGCATTTTAACAGTATTTGTCTTTGATAGATTACTTTGCCCTTGTGCTAAAATGTTCACTTTATTAGTGAACAACATGTTCTTTGATCAATGATTCTTTTTGATCTTTGCATACAACAGAAAATTGGTCACTATAAAAAGTCCTCACCTGTCACCATGACTGTGCGAATATGAGCTTGATGCAAGTCTCTCAGCACTCCTGGGGTTTCCGTCTTAAGTTTATTTTGCATGATGATTAACCCTAAAAACTCCATATTTTTCTCAATATGGTCCCTAAACACAGCAAAGACATAATTATCAGAAAATGACTTGCCCCTTGTCAGCTTTAAACAAAGCAATTTCTAAGTCCAATACATTATTTTGAACACTAAATACAAATTTACCTGCTGATATTTTGAACCTTGTGCCAAGAAAGCTTTGATTCAAGGCGACGATGAGCCAGGGCTATTACCCTGAAACCCTCTTTGGTGTAACCCTCCAAAATGTCTCCAAAATTTGCTGGTACTGAAAAAAAAAAAGAAAAAAAAAAAAGATTTAAACAAAAAATCTGCAACCTGAAACGTAATCTATACAGATATAAACTTGCCTGTATTATGTTTGCAAAGACTGGCCACAACTTCTGGGGCTCCTTTCATATATGCATCCATTCGCTTCTCCCCCAACAAACGGGCAACAACACTCATCCTCTGCAGCGCTGACGAAAATGGAAACTGACGCACAATACCAATCTCATAGGCAGACTGTACACAGAAAAATGAAATAATTCTTTGCCATCATCAGTGACCAGATGCCTTTAAGTCAAATGAACACTTACTGATAGTTCATAAAGTTCCTGAAAAGAAACACAAACATTGGGTCAGACTCCATCCTGTAGCTTTAAATAATTTCATGTTTTTGTGTTTGTACCATGTTGTCTTCAGCTGTTAGAGGGGCGTCTTGGGGCAACAATTGTTTTGGAGGACGCACTACTGTGGGCATAATTCTATTGTGGAGAGACGTTTCTTCCTCTGTGGCCTCTTCCAGGAACTGGAATAATAACACAATATACATTTAAAACATATAGAATTGTGTTACATTTCTTTAACATCTAACATCAGTGCTAGTACAATGGTGGAGACATTTTGCTTGTTGTCATTAGCATATGTGCAGTCTTACCCAGCCTGTAGCCTCAAACATTTTGAGGTCCAGTGGGTCCCCCGACAGCTGGCCCTCTATTTTGGTAAGCGAATGGCAGGTGGCCATGCAGCCCACAAACTGAGATTTGACAAGACTCTCCTTGTAGGCAGTTTCTTCCGAGGGAAGAAAACTAGAACATTGTTTAAAATAAATGCATTACTGAAAATATCTACAAGAAATAAACTGGAGTTTACAAATGTGTATACCTGCCATTCTCTACCCTCTGCACTCCCCAGAGATCTAAACCGTCTTCAGTCAGAGTACCTGTCTATTAAAAAAAACCAAAAAAATTCAGATTTGGATAACCATTTCCAGTTACAATTAATACATACACTAGAATCGACATACAATAAAATAAATCTATGAAGTCACACCTTGTCAAAGCAGACCAGATTGATCTGCCCACATATATTTATTCTTTGTGGACTAATGCAAAATATTCCAATCTGTTTGAGACGTCTCTGAGCGTACACAATACCGGCCGTCATGGCAGCTGGAAGTGCAGGTGGCACTGTGATAGTGATAATGTCCAAAGACTCAATAACTATGGTGCCAGCAGAAACCTAAAACACATACAAGCCATAAAGTTATGCATATAGGAAAAGAGCATATAACCTTTATCCACTATTCAGCCAGTATTAAAAGTTAGAAAAGGTTATATAAAACAATACACAGACACAATAGTCAAACAACCTCTTTTATGATACTGAGGATAATGGAGTAGATAAAACCAATTCCTGCCACGCCAACTAGACACAAGAGGAAGAGGTAGGCATCTCGATACAGCTTGAAGTCAGTGGGTTTTGGGTAAAGAATGGAGCGCACAAGTTGGCCTTTTGCTGTGCTGAAACCTAGAAGAAAGTTAAAAAAATGAAAACACTTTTTTTTAACAAAGGTTTTATACAAATGTAACGGTATATACAGTCATTAATTTATACTAATAATCCTAAAATGACAACAGGTCAGAATACTGAACAAACACAAAAGAGTAAGGTAAAGTTTTAACATTGTGTACGTGAAGACTTGATCTTTTATGTATTTTGGCCAAATGTAAACTGCACATCCATGTATGTTTGTTATGTTTAATGTAATATCATAACATCAGCCTGCCCAAAGACTACGGGTGAAAGTTAGCTCTTGAGCTATAACCTGGTACAATCATGGATCTATTATAATAACTGGACATCTTGGATCACCAGGGCTTGGGTACAATGCATCTTTCCCTTTGAGGTTAATGTTTATTGTCCTTGTCATCTTAAATAAATAAAACAAATAAAAAAATCTAAGCATACTTGACAAAAAATGTGGTTCTCATCTCAAAGAACATTAAATGAAAGAGAAACATGCATTATATGTATACATAGTGTCAAACACAGCTCAATCCCCTTCAAAAGTGGAGCCCAGCTGTGCCCGACAGACCAGCTAAAACTAAAACTGCTTTACAGTTTTCAGCAACATTTAGAAAATCGATTGCGTGATGTTGAGTGAATAAGGATTGTGTGTTAATAGAACCGAAACAAGAGTGAAGTTGATCTAGTGCACGCTCCGCCTGAATTAGAGAAGGTTGTGTGAAAATACTTAAGTACCCTAAACAACAAACAATCCCACAAAAATCGTTTTTTGGACTACACTACTGACCTGTACGAACCACCAGTGCTTTCACCAGTTCGCTTGTGTAGAAACGCGTCTGGATGATGTTGGTGCCACAGAAGAGTGTGTGTCTCTTGTGCTCTTCTGTGTTGTAGGCACAGTCAGAATTGCCCCTGTCGCCTGGTAATGGATTTGGAAGGTTGGTCTTTGTTACTGGAACACTTTCACCTAAAAACACATAGAACACAATCAGATTTGACGTTACAGAAATTCATTATTTCAATACTAAATAAAACAAACAAGATACAGAAATACAGTTTGAAATGGTTTGGACGAAGCATTGGTGTCATTGCATTGGCTTTTATTCTGTACCTGTGAGCATGCTTTCATTGACAATGCAGGTGCCGCTGATTAGCACAGCATCACAAGGCATGATGGTCCCATTACTAGGGATGACCATCACATCACCAGGCACAAGGTCGGTGGACAAAACCTCGTCGATAACTGCCAGAAAAAATAAATGCACGCAGCTCCAGTGATGAGAAATATAATATCTAATTATGGTGACTATGACAAGTATATACTTACCATTGTTGGCTCGGCAAACAGATACACGGACAATACTATGAGCTGCCACCATATCATGAAGCATGACATATTGCTAAACAGTCGGAAATAGTATAGTCAAATATAAATGTTTATATTTTTCTACACATCTGGAGTCTGTTGTCCACAAACCTTTTTGATGGTGTACAGAGAGGTAGCAATGGATATGACCGACATAAAAACAATGGCTATAGCATAGTAGTAATACTCATCAGTGCACCACAGGATGACACTGAAGAGTTGAAAAATGTAGAAAGGGTTGAGGACCTATAAAAGACAATTTAGGGTTATCAAAAATATACAATGTCACAAAATATGAATCAATATCCAGAGTGTATTAAGGTGAAAAAAACATTTGGCAGAGAATATTTTGAGGAGATGGTCTAATGATATCTACCTGAAGTTGATTTAAAAAAACTCAACCAATCTTTCACTGTCAGGCTGTCCCAAAATATCAAAATATACAGTTGATTTCAAAACAGCTACAGTTATAGTAATTTTGATATTCCCCCTTGACGTTAGAGGGCAGAACCATCTACCATATAGACCAACAGACAGTCAAGTTTGGCTCTAGATTAGGTAGATGGACACTTTATTGATCCCCGTAAGAGAAATTCAGGCGTCCAGTAGCAGCCAAAATAAAACATAAAATTGAATATTCTAAAAAACTAACAATAGTAAGTGTGGAACTTAATACTCCACAATTTTCAATACATGGAAAGTAAAGCAGAGCGTATACTCGTGCGTCACTGTGTATTCAGTGGCCCTTGAGTTGTCACGTGACCAACCCAAGGATCACAGCAAGACCGTCAACACCCCCTGTGCTACTACCCATGCACCCTCATATTTTTTAACTACACAGCTGGCACCGCAGAGAAGGTTTTGTGATTGGCCAGCTCGAGACGCGTGCAGTGGATTGGTCAGCACCATATGCTCACAACACTTTGAATGAAGGACTGACAGTCCGTGTCTGACCAAACCATTTGAATTCTATTTTTGAGCAGTCCTTTTGCCTGTATTGTCCTCAACACTTCTCCAAAGACCTCACAGGGGCAGCGGCAGAAAAAAAAGTTTCCAATGTTTTCTGCAGTCTATAAGGTTTTGATTTGAAAAGCAGTCTAGAGGTGTTAGAGTTGTAATTTGTATTGGCTTGGTGTGTTCCCACACGTTGGACATGGTTGGGACAATTTCAGCATGCACAGCATGACGTTGGGTCTTCTGATAGGCCTGTACCAACTGTGCGTCTGACTTGTGTGGGTAGAAGCATGGGGGGAGAGGTTGGACCACAGCAGCAGTGTGAGTGTGTGGTTCTGATCTAGTTGTCAAGACCAGAGCATATTCTTGTATGCGTTTTGACTGAAAGCCTCGTCACTGCGCTCGTCAATACAAAATATACTCCATGTGCATTTTTTCCCCAACTCGAGGAGTGGCAACTAGATCAGCACCACATGCCCAAAGGGCAGCAGCTTTTACGAAAGTACTCAGCGTTTTTTGTGTGCAGTGGGCAAGCTCCAGCTGCTACTAAAGTAAAACAAACAAGTGAAACAAACACTGCGAGCCCCTGTCCAATCCACTTTGCTTGCCTTACTGCGACACAGGGCTTACACACTTATTTATTCTTATATCCTTGGTATAAAAATGGACAATGACATTTTTGTATTATGACATCTACAAGCGGTTATGTAGAAATCATAAGAACATCATTCAAACAAAAGGAAAAATTCTAACCTCTTTGATGAGCAGCTTGAAAACAGAAGGCACTTTCACTGCAATTTCATTCATTCCAAAGAACAATCTCCTGTTGTGACAGCCAAATGAATCATGGAAAAAGTAATAATTAAGTGTTTGTATTAATATGTAGTATTAGTATTATAAATCTCACCTGTACTCCTGCTGGTTTCGGGATAGACCCTTACTATGTTCTGTATGGAGTTTAGAGCAGCTGAGCTGCAGATCCTCCAGGCCACTACATTTAAATATGAATAATACATATTTATTAATTAATTAATTTAAGTGAAATATATAAATATATTTCACTTAAGTAAATCTTAAATTTCCAATCGTGAATTAGAAACACTCACTTTAAAACTTCGAAGTTCTGCTTTTCGTCATTCCAATAATACTTTGTACTATGAAAAGTAAAGTAACGGATCTGTGGAAAATATAGAAGAAGTCGTACACTTTAACACAAGATCAAAAAAGTTAATTTGCTCTCACAATAAGATCCTAATTACCTGTGAGGGTTGGTAGTCACCATATCTTTTGACAAGCTCCTGATCAGGGCTGCCATTTGAAGGTTGAGGTGTGTATCCGTTGGCCAAAGGGTGAGATGAGTCGGATGAGACGGGACATGTGGGAGAGGACGGAGCGGAGGTGGTCTGGGTCTCCAGGCTGTGGAAGGGGTTCCTTCCTGGGGCAAGCATCACTCGTACCTTGGCCAAGAACCAACGTCGAAACTCATCCTATCAGATTTGAATACATAAATGCGCAAATGTACATCTTAAAAGCATGTGCAAATACAATAATAAAATTTACAACTGCTGAGAATTGTCCCTGTTGCACAGTAATGAAAAGTGACTTGTAACCATTCCTCTCGAAAACAGTGGGCGAATCCCCGTGTAATAACCCTAACCCGTACAATGTTAATGCTTTGATAGTGGTCCAAACCCACTCCTTTCATCAACACCATACGTACAGTGGATTGCAACAGCACCACTTCTGCGTCCCGCGCTGCAGTACGGGTGCAGGTGGATTTGACGCACCACTCTGGCATCCAATACAGCAACAAGAGGAGGAAGCCCCCTGTACACAGCACGCCAAGGCCAACGAGCACCAGTCGCCAACGACACAAGCGATAACCATGCAGCTCCTGGAAAAAAATCTGTATGAAAGAGAACTTTACAGACCATTACCCAGAACAAAAATGAAGATACGTACCATCTCCTCCTCTTCTCCTTTGTGGAGTACCTTAAAGTCATCCTTCTCCATACTGTCCTATGCCAAGCCCCCTTCCAAGAGACTGCAACACAGAATTCGGACTACAATAAACTAGGAGTGTATTGGTTAACCTAAATATTATAAGTAATGAAACTCTCCATTACGATATACTACTAGCATGATGCTAGTTTCATGTATCGAAACAAATTCAAAGCTTATATCTTGATACTTTTGTTCTACATACAGATGAAATTGTTTCCCGCTCATTGTTTAATATAAATGTGTTTCAATGAAAGTGAGATTCTATCCTTGTTTAGTCATCTTCAAGCACATGAATGCAGTGGCGGCATGAGGAATTTGCCACATTAAGCAGCTTCCCCCCCCCAAAATGCTAGTTCTGTAGAGGGAAAGCAGCGTCTGAAGGTTTTTTATTGTTCAGCCCTAATAACAATTTTGTTTCTGTAAAAAAACATGAAAATCATAAATTTAGAATGAATAAATATCCATTCTCAAAACTTTTGACAACCTGAAATAACAGGCGTGGATTTGTTCAGAACTCTGATTTTGTTATTTTCATTAAGTAGACACGATCGACCACAAGATTTTATTGGAACGCCTAAAAACGTGGTTTTATATCATTTGCTTTTGGCTCTTTTTATTATCATCTTTTAGACAGACTCTTTGCGGCCACCATGGGTAATATTACATCCTCAACAGCCCCCATTACCTGTGGTGCACCGCAAGGTTCTAATTTAGGTCCCATTATATTTTTTATTTAAATGGTCCCCTAGGACACGTCATGGCCCATCATTATCTGGCTTGCAATTCTGATATCCAAAAATTATTTGATTAAGCCTGCACAAGGTCTTTAAAGTACAGCTGCTTGACCCAAGTGCGTAGTGTTAAATACCCACAGCTGTCAGATTTGAGTCACTCAATATCAAACATACCCCTCTTCTCCCTCCCCCCCAAGAAACAGACAGCTGCCAAGAAAATCCGATGTCACTTGTGCATGTACAGTGATACGCACCCCGCAATGAGCCATAGTTTCATTGAAAGCAAATCAAAGTTCTTTGAATGCCTTAGATCAGTCCATGAGGATACAATATCTTAACCTAACCTAACCGTAAATCTTCAATAATCTTGGTCTTATAGTTTAGTAATAACAGGGTGCTTGCTATTTTTCCTAATTAATATTTACTTGTATACTTACTCACAAAAATGTGCCAGACTCGGCTAAGCAAGTGTTATTTGGATATTATTCCATTAGGCTAATACAGTGCGTGACCAGTTAGTAAAATTAGTTTTACAGCCTACCTTCCCATTTCTCATTTCACAATGCAATTGAGCATACTGTAAAATTCTACTATACATTTTTTTTTACCATACTTCAATAAGACTTTCACACAAAATTTAAGACTTTATGGTCTGGAAAACAGTGTTTCAAAATTCCATACTTAAAGACTTTCAAGACTTGTGCAAGCACCCTGAATAAAGAAGAGAGAAACATTAGGTTAATGTAAAACAAAAAAGTCGGAGTCTGGGATGTTGACTTCAGCATGCTGTAGCATGTCTACTGTATGATGAAAGAGTTTGCACATGAACACCCACTCCAAGGCCCTACCCAGACAAAAACCAAACAGCATGTAGTTATGATATTGTATTACATACAGATCGGAAAAGACTCTTAACTTTATACTTCTTAACCTAGAGAAGACAAAAGTGATCCTACTTGGTCCAGAGAGTCTGCGCCACTCCCTTGCAGACCAGATAGTCACTCTGGACTCCTTCAGTTCAGCATATAAGTAAGCAAGTAAGTAATCTTTATTTATATACCAACTTTCACAAACCAGAGTCACAAAGGGGTTTACAATTGCGGGCATTTGTCTCCCACTCCACACAGGGAGCGGGGTCGCTAGTACAGGAGGCGCATGCCAGACCTATTGTACAGACACAGGGAGAACATACAACTCCACTCAGAAAGGCGCTGTTCCAACTGGGATTCAAACCCAGGACCTTCTTGCTGAGAAGCGAGAGTGCTATCCACTCACCGTGCCGCCCATATCATTAAAAATGTAAGACTTTAGGGAAGGAAACATCTTTGACTCCCTATGCAGCTCAACTGACTGTTTGCTTGGAGAAGAATGGTAACTTGAGCACTATCCTCTCCCCCTTTCTACTTCGTTTGCATTATTAGGATTTTGACTGTAAGGTAAGGCAAGGCAAGTTAATTTGTATAGCACAATTCATACACAAGGCAACTCAAAAAGTGCTGAACAAAAATAAGAAAGCATTAAAATCATAAATAATCACAGTACATTAAAAAGAAAGAAAATATATATATACTAGTGCTGTCCAAAATATCGCGTTATTAACGCGTTAACGCAAATCAATATTAACGGCGTCATTTTTTTTATCGCGCGATTAATTTATTTTAAAAAAATTTCACTTTATTGCAGACAAACACATATACAGAAAAAAAAAATAGAAACAAAGAAAAGGACTAGTTCAGATACATTGTAGACAGAGATTACAAACAATATGTAGTTGGAGATACAGGGGGCCAAAGAAGAAACCCAGAAGGGCACATACTGTAGGAGAAGTGTTGTGCGTGAACGAGTTCAAAAGAACGCGTTCATTGAACACGCTCATTTTTTTGTGAACATTGAACTGAACGCAACACATTTTTAAAACAAGAACTTGAACGTGAATTAGTTCATTTTATGTGTCATGAACGGCAAACATCACTATGAACGTTGGAATCTGTTTTCTCTTTTAAAACGCAACGAGAGAAAGTTCCTCCCTCCTGTATTCCTACGGTTTGCACCGTCTGTGAACGCACCCCGACTCCGTGTTGCGGTGCGGCGCTGTGAGCTGGTGCTTTTCACATGTGCCCAAGTCGTGATGAAGTGATGGGGCGGGCATGAAGTGGCTGATGGGGGGGAGGGGTTAATAAAAAAGGCAATACAAGCAAACAGTATACAGTGTGGTAGAATTATAATGTTGTATACTAATGATTTCCAGTAGGTGTTTGCAAACATGTCTTTGTGCAAAATATTAAAGCCTGGATGTAATGGAATTCAGACAAGCACCAAGGACAAGGCTTCTGTGATAAAAGTATCATTTTCAGGAACAGCGTGTCTCTAGCGGCCTGAGACACAAAACTGGACTAAACCAGACTGGGACCAGCCTGAGACCATATGACGTCATTGGAGATTCTGATAAAACCGTTGGGAGGACACATGGGGGGAAGTTAGAGCACAGGGATAGAGATTTAGGGAGTAGCTTCGGGAGTTCTGTATCAACATTTAATTGTAAAGAGAAATAAATGTACTATTGGAACTCTTGAATCTTGGCCTTATTTCTGTACCAAATTCTGAACACGTCGGTCAAATCATTTTTGACAACAACAGTCATAGATATACCGAAAGTAAACAGAGAAACAGCATAGAGTATTTACATGAACACATTTACAAAATATTTACAGATTGTTTATCATCATCATAATGACACCATGATGTTTCTATACAGTCTATGGTCTATACCCACACATACACACACACACCCACCCAAATGTGTGACTAATTTGCGATTAATCGCGAGTTAACTATGAAATTCATGAGATTAATCGCGATTCAATATTTTAATTGTTGGACAGCACTAATATATACACAATCCCTCAGTTGTATGCACAGCTAAACAGAACTGTTTTTAACCTGGTTTTAAACATTGTCAGAGAGGAGGCCTGTCTCACAGACTGTAGGCTGTTCATTTCTATTCACCAGTTGTCCTATTGTCTGTTTCATGGTACAATGACAGGACCTCTGAACCAAGCCCCCTCCATCTACAACTGTGGACTGCCCTGCCCAACCCGCCTGGGAGCTGCTTCAGTCCTGCACCGGACCTGTCCTCGTTAACCTGGACAGGTCCTGTCCTCTGCGGCCGCTGCGTGGTCCTCGTTCTGTAGCGTAGGTCCTGGATTTATAGCCCGTCCATTCACGGTGTGGATCCCTCTCTCAATGTGAATCTCCGAGGTTTTACTATTTTTCCACCTTTTTCTTGTTTGATTTTCCTTGCTGATGCAGGAGGGTCTGTTGGACTGTTAGTGTCCAACAAGAAGGACTGTGGTGATGGACACTTTAACATTCTACAACATGTATGAGCATTTATAAACATTCATGGACATTGGTCTCTTTCTATGGACAAATACATGTGTTCTATATATTTTTTGTCTTAACTGTTGATTCTTGTGCTGGTGATTTCAATGGTTTGGTTAAGTCCTCTGAGATGACTGCAGTTGTGATTTAGGGCTATACAAGAATAAATTGTATTGTTTTGTAAATATATTCACCCACATAAAAGCTGAAAAATGCATCCAATTGACCTTAGAGCATTGTAATGTTCATGCTAGGCCTGATGGAGGCAGTGTGAGGCACAGATGCGTAAAGTGATGAGAAACATTTGGCATTAACTCTTTTTTTTCAAACAGATGTTTGAAGAATTCTTGTGTTTAAACATTTTGTGATGTAAACTAACTTTTTTGGTCAAATAATTACAATTCAAAGTTGTTCTGAGGCGTCAGCCACACCAGAACACAATGCCACTGCCTAATAGACCCTGATAAACTCTGATCTTATCAAGTGGTTGCACCAGGCCCCGCTACCTCTCTAGCACACTGTGGACCAAACCCTTTCCTTCAATTTTACACAGGCAGTCCCTGACCGGCGCTGGCTGCAGAGTACAGGGCATCAAGACACTCCCACAAACATCTCAATGGCTGGAAATACCAAGACAAATACAGACCATAAATTCATAGAATCCTGCACAGACGGGTCCGGCTATGCACTAGCTGCAATAAAGGCCTGTCTCTCAAAGACTCTAAAAAGTAATTACAAAATATACAGTTTTCCATTTTATAGATAAATAAAAAGGAAAGAATGTTGGATATTTTTTTAAAAGGTCTAACAACAGAAATAATGCTTTGCAGATAGAAGTATTGAACAAAAGCACTTGGAATGTACATTAAAATAAGAATTTCACTACTTCTCAGATACACAAGCTATTCCACAGAAGACAAGAATGCTATAATATGCCATTAATCTGTCTGTACATTAAATTAGAATACTAAAAACCTATATTAAAATAACAAAATGCCCCAAATGCCATATTTTGGGTGATAAGATATTTATTTTGTTTCAAATAGAAAAAAAATTATACATGTTGGGATAACTGCATTATGATACACATTTACTAGGAGTGGGAATCTAGGGCCACCTCAAGATTAGATTATATAACGATTGATATAATTTTAATATAGGTATATTGATGAACTTTTTCCACATTTTTTTTGTCTCACTGATTGTGCATTCATCATCTGCAGTTCAGAAAACAGTGCAATTGTAATAAGAAAAAAAAGAGTTGAATTCATTTCCATTATATTTTATTACCTGAAATTATATTTTATTACAATGACAATATCCATTGGAAAGGAAATTTCTGAACTTCCTACTTTAAAGAAGCTATACCGTTCATAAGTTCATAAAAATGCTTATTACTACATACAAGATGTATTATAATCCGTAATTTAATTGCAAACTTGAGCTCATTGATTCAGCTTTTTGTATGAATTCAGGCCGTAAAAAGTGTAGAGTAGAGACTTGGCGTGACGCCCGCTCTCCTCCACTCACAGAACGAGGCTGCGTCCTCTAGCCTCTACAGCGCTGCTAAACACAGTAGCATGTTAGCAGAATTGGCTATAACTCCTCTTGCTGGAACTGCATACACAGCAAAACAGCCAAAAAAACTCAACAGTGAGGATATAAAGAGGGAACTAAAGCGAAAAAAATGATCAAAGAAGAAATCAAGCCTGGGTGAACATAGCTAGCTTACATCGTATACTCTGGAGAGACCTGCTGGTGCGGACCGCCTCGGACTATCTATGGTCTGACTACATTCGGACGCAGAACTAGCGGTAATCTTTTAGTTATACATTTTGTTAGCAGGTCAGCAGTTTAATCCAAAATCATTACACAGACTTATGTAATGATTTTGGATTAAACTGTGTAAACTTCTTTTAAATGTTTAGGAGCAGGTCCGATCTCACGGTGAGGTAGGTTGGTTAGCTCAGCCATGCTTGTCGTTTTGTTTTTTCTGGACGGTTGTGTTATGGATGCGTGATCCAAGAACCGGACATTTCCCTCACTAAAATTAACTTAACCGAAACACTATGTATCATCTCAGACAGGTCTCACTCAAATTGAGAAATAACATGATGCATTCTGATGGGGTATGATGATCTGATGTTGTGGTACCTTGAGCCAGGTGCACAGCGCCCCAGGCGGTCCGTCTCCCTGCAGTTAGCTAGCTCTCGCACCACACCAACCTGGAACCCTGCATGAACAGAACCAGAACTTCATCATGTTTCAACAATTCATGTTCCTGCAAAACAATACAGTATTAATTCCAAATTAGCCTTCTCTGTTCAGGTATAAGTGACCATGAATGACCATGCATTTTCTATTTCAAAATCACTTTCCAAAACGTTAAATATCTTAAGATATCACGCTAACTGGTTGTTCCGGGTCTGGGCCACGGGAACTGGGTTTGTTCTTAGTCTTTTCTTGCAGAAGGGTCTAAGGACAGTGATGATCCAGGACATTTGTAAACATTTATGGACATTGGTCATCCCGCTTTTATATTTTTTTCCACATAGTTAGTGCCACTTAATTGCCAAACTCTTTTTGACTTATTGCATTGATAAACATGTGTTAGTCTCACATTGTCTTTGGTTGTTTTATTACCTTTCCTGTGTGGAAGTTGTATGTTCTTCTTCTGAAGTTGTATAATAATACACTGCATTCTTATTGAAAGCCACAAGTGTCAGTTCTCAAATTCTTCTGAAATTATGTTTCTATCTGCTACAGAGGCCGAGATACCAATAATTTAGTAGACGTTGAATTTCAGGAAAACTTCAGGTTTTGGAGGGTGGTTCTGAAGTCGGCCTCAGGTTTTGCAGGTCTGTTTTACCAGGCGATGCAGGCCTTAATGGGTTAATAAAATGTGCTGTAGAAATATATTGGATTGGATTTGTCATTGCTGAATATTCTTCAGTTTGATTCTTGGATCTGTCGGTGAAATTTACAAAGTTGTACACTTTGCAAATTCCTACAAGACCACTGCTGTTGTGATTTAGGGCTATAAATACATGTAATTGTTAAGGGACAAAAAATACATTGGCACTGAAATGTGTACAACAGGCCTTTTAAATGTTTTACTTCGTGTGAATGCAGCAAAGAATAAACTATTTTTTATTCACAGCAAAGCTACGGTTCAGTGGTGAAGAAGGTTGAATCACATGCCTCAGTGCTGGGACTCCTGTGCTAGCTGAAGGACTCTAATGCTCTACCAAAGTTATTTTTTGTCTGTTGCCACAGCCCAACAGTTGTGACCTCATAGTTAATCAAACTCACGGGTAAATAAACAACCAAGACAGTAAATCCAGACAATGCGAACAATGAGCCATGACCTTTTGGCACAAGTCAATAATTCATGGAAACATTGAAGAAAAAATGTCTTGTAGCCTGTGCTCAATGTGCTTTCACCACTTCCTCCCAAACCAACTGTTCCCTCTTCGATGCGTGCGCAATCGCGCTGTTCTTTAGGGGTCTTATTATAAAACATCCACGACTCAGCGCACAGATAATGTCCTGTGCCGCACAAAAGAAGCAGCCACGTATTTCTACAGTGTATGGACCGCGGTGGATCAGTGCGGTCAGGCCCCATTCAAAGTCAGAGTCATAACTCTGTGACGATGAGGAACACTGTCCGCGGGTGCGGGAGAAGAGCTCAACCCAGAAGTCTGAAGCTGCGTTTGACCCAGAACTCTTACGTCTCTTTATCCAAAGTGCCTCCATCACTTTGCTGTAGTTTTATTGTTAGTGCTCATCTTTTCAATGATGTTAAGATTCAGTTCAGCTCAAAGGCCTGGAGTAAAGTTGGTTTTGTGACAGTCTGTGCTGTTCACTAAAAGCTGTCAAACCAAGGAGGCATGTCTGCTAGGATATCCTATTGAGTTTTCCTTTGGCAAAAGTTTGCCCGCCCACTTTTCTTCAGGCCCGCCCTATTCAACATTTCTGCCTACGTCCCTGGTTGAATGTAGCGGGGATAAAAAACCGCGGGGAACGCGGGAGACGAGGCAGAAGCCGCGGGAACAAACACCGCGCTAATAATTTACGGACGGCGATGATGATGAAGGCAGTTCTTGAGACGAGAATCCATAAAAGTGGATCAGAAATGTTGAAGAGCCTGTTGTCAGATCGTCTACACAATAAACAAGTTCTGAGCCTATTCATTTAATTGCCGTTTCTAAACGATGAATTCTGGAGCCTCATTTCCACTGAGACAAACAGTATGCCACCAGGTCTTTTGAAAGGGTAATATTGAAACCAAAGTGCAGATTTCATGACTGGTAAACTATAAGCAGTGCCATCTTGATCATTGAAGGTCTAATACATAATACAAGTTCATATGGCCGCTGACCAGTGCTAAAATATTCTATATAAAAATTGGATCAGTGAATTTATTTCTATCCCAAATTGTGTTTCATACTAAAGATAGTTCACATTGAATGTTGACAGTATTCCCTGAATTCAAAACACACTATCAAACTACAGGTTTGTGAAATCTTTATACGATGGTGGCCGCCACCTTGATGACGTCACAATATGCAAGTTAGATGACGAATCAACATCCATCCCAAAGTTTGGTTCATACTGAAGATATTTCTGATTTACAATATGCCTTCATCTCAAACCACTTTAAAGTTATAGCCTTTTGAAATCTTGAAAATCAAAATTGTACATTTTCTTGAAAAAAATGGGCTTAGTGCTGTGTGAAAATCTCTCTTCAATGGCCTGGGTTCCACACCGTGATCCTCTTTGCTGCCATCGTTTCAACATGTCCAGGAATTCAACTCTTAAGCACTAACCATGTTGTGGGTTTAGTCCATGGTTTTGTTAAGGAGAATATTAGATTACAGCACTTACAGTCACACTGCTAGCAATCAGACGTGGATTCACATTTGTCAGGCTGAATGCTGTGATGCAGGAAACATGCCACAGAGATTTCCCCTTAGCCAATCAGGACACAATACGCTGGTTCTTCCTTAGCCAATCAGGATGAACACACCAAGTTCATATACAGTGAAAATAATTCTAAAAATAAATCCGCAAGACCGCAAAAAGTGAACTGCTATTCATCTGAGGAGATTCCGATTCAGAATAGAGAGTAACACCTGTACGGAAGTTTGTACTTTGTAATTTTTTTACATCATACATGTATTACGTTATAGATTAGATAGTATTCCAAATCAGGTGTATGTTTTTGCAGTTTTTGATGTGAGATACATGCATGTCTAAAAAAATTGAGGGGGGGATATCCCCCCCTAGGGCCATGGCTAGGGGGGGGACTGATCCCCCCCATCCCCCCCTCTGGAGGAAACCCTGCTTTATTGGCAATGACTGAGCTCCAATGGTTCTGTAAGGTTTTCACACACTGTAGCTGGTATTTTTCCCCATTCCTCCATGCAGATCTCCTCTAGAGCAGTGATGTTATGGGGCTGTCGCTGGAAAACACAAACTTTCAACTCCCTCAAAGATTGTCTATGGGGCTGGGATCTGGACACTGGCTAGGCCAGTCCAGGACCTTGAAATGCTTCTTACAAAGTCCCTCCGTCATTGCCCGGATATTGTGATTGGGATCATTGTCATGCTGAAAGAACCAGCCATGTTTCATCTTCAATGCCCTTGCGGATGGAAGGAGGTTTATATTCAAAATCTCATAATACATGGCCCCATTCATTCTACATGGATCAGTCGTCCTGGTCCCTTTGGAGAAAAACAGCCCCAAAGTATGACGTTTCCACCCCCATGCTTCACAGTGGGTACGGTGTTCTTTGGGATACTACTCTCCTCCAAACACGAGTTTTTACCAAAATGTTCTATTTTGGTTTCATCTGATCATATGACATTCTCCCAATCCTCTTCTGGATCATCCCAATGCTCTCTAGCAAACTTGAGATGGGCCTGGACATGTACTGGCTTAAAGTGATAGTCTGGAATTCTAGATGAATTGCACATTTTAAGAATTGTATTAAATTGACCTCCTGGCCTTGAATGTTGATGCAAAATCGTCACTTTACCTCACTGTACTGCTGTCACCTTACATTTTGTGCACCATGTGCACGGTATATTGTATATAGTAATTGTAACTATTTTAATTTGTATTTTAAATTCATTCCTTAGAAGTGTTTTTTATTCTCTCTGACTTTTGCACCGAGCCAAAGCAATTTCCAAGTCTGACCTCCTGTTACTTAATAAAAATGATTCTGATTCGGAAAATAAGTAATTTTATGAATTCTAATATTACGGGTAAGTCCCGCCTTCCCTTCTCTTAGCTATAGCTCAAAATCCACAGAGGGTCGGTGCCATGTTGATTTGGACAAACTGGTTAGCAGAGTTCGCAATGCATCATGGGATCTCACTTGCCCGCAAGTGAGCTCCGGACCTCACTCGCGCACAAGGGTGGTTTGGGTGTGAGGGCCCTCGCCTCTTCTCCCTAAGTATTGGGACACCCTTCAACCCCCGCGGGCACGCGCAAAATCTAGGGCAAGGGTGCGAATTGGGACGGGGCCTAACTCAAAGCACATGATGTTGGATTAACAGTATCTACTCTGAGAAAGTGTACATGAGCCAACACCAGTTCCCTCCCTCCACTTCAATTTACCCTCATCCTCGTGTGATGAAAGATAAAGTTTTAGAGAGAAAGGATTATCTACAAATTGAACTTTAACATAAAAAGTGCGTCTTACAGCTGCTGAGCAATAAAGTCACAAACAATAACATAATATTTTCAGGCTTTGCAGTTACTGGACATGAAATCTGTAATCTCAAAATATCCATGACCGTTGAAGTGAACATACTTGCAGATATGGAAAATGTATTCATTCCAAACCATCCTTCCCCAGTAGAGAGGGGGAACAGTTCCCTTATGTAAAGCACTTTGAGTGCCTTGAAATGTAAAAAAAACGCTTTACATAATGTGACAATTCATGATATCCCACAAGACCAAGGTTTTCCCATCTACCTGTAAAAAAAAACGTTTTTAAATACAATTTTGATATTATAATCACACACATAGCTTGTATATAACTGTACTTTATTGACCCTCAGGGGTCGATCTATTATTTGCATTAGTATGTCAAACTTTATTTGGCATCAAATGAGTTGGTGTAACCTTCTCTGATGTGGGTGACTCTCCCTCTTCTTGTTCAAGGTAAACTGTGAAAACCGCATAAAGCTCACCTCTCCTCTTTGAGGCTCCCTGGACAAATATTGTAGATATGTGGACAGGCCCATAACCATGTCAGGATATTTCACGTGTGGACTCTGAATCAACAGAGGCACAACTCATGTTTCATGCTGTGGGCCTTTCCTTGCTGTGAAAGCCCTGTGTCTCAAACAATCATTACACTCTCATCCAAATTTGGAGACCATCCTCAATCAAAAGTGAAGATGTTACAAAACCATTAGGAATGTATAAAATAGCAACACTCTAAAGTTGTGAAGTATTAGAAAATGGGTAAAGTGCATTATAGATTAGTGTGTGCAAACAATTTTAACAATTAATTAGAATTTGCTCAATTTTCTTTTATTTTGAATTATATTTGAACTGAGCTTAAAAACAAAAAGGTGAATTGATTGAATGAAAACAAACCCAAACACATATCACATAAAACATCTTGGACATTCCACTCCTTGTAGTTCCTATTTATCACACATTACTTAGCAGTATTTACTAATCATCACCAGGTCAGATATAAAGCACCTGTAAACAGTTTGAGATCTTATCTATATCAGGGCATAGTTTATTATAATGGCAGAAGGTTGAAATTAGAGCAGAGATAATACAATAAATTTAATTGCTTACCAGAGGCTAATATAGAAGCATTGTTTAAATGAAAAACAGGCAAACTAAATTTTTTTTCATCTTATGGCAGCAGTGGTTCAATAAGTCGTCCTATGCACATGACGAATGAGTGTGAAAGCCGCGTTGTAAAGCTATGACAGTGACTAACGGTGTCTAATAAAAGCATTTGGGAAGTGCTTTATAAGGAAATTATAGGACGTGGGCTAACAGCTTAGCCTTAGCCCCGTGTCATTGTTGGCGCCTTACTATCTCGTTATCTGAATGTTTTCTACTTTTGTACTGCATTTTCACTTCTAACATCAAAATGAGGTTGGACGAATCAGCCGTATTGAATTGGGAGCGTGTTTCTGTATCAGAGCGTAGCCAGAGTGTTAGCGCTAGCCTAGACATAGCACATGGGTGAAGATGATGACAGCAGCAGTACAACATGACATACCCCTCTCTGCTAAAGCTGCACTTACCAGAACCACCTGGACACGCCGAAGATCACCTCCGTGTCATGGTCTCACTAAAGCCGCTGTTATCTGGAGGAACACGTCGTTGAATCAGCAAATGGTCCGAGATTAACGGGGGAATGTTGTCTCGACCACTCGCCGCTCTGGAGCCGTGCGCACTGACAGCTCGATGGGACTGAACTACAACACTGAACTGGCCCAAACTGGATGTGTGGAAGCAGGAAGTGACGTCACACTAGGACCGCGCACTGGGTTTTCTTAAAGGTGCATTGCGGAATCTTGTTTTGTCTTTGCTTAGTATGATCTATTTCACTTGTACGTTATTGTAAGCTGAAATACCCAACTTTTAAACCACATAAAGTGTCCATCTATCAAGTGTGTCGCATTTTCCATTACATCTTTACGTCAGCCAATCAGCTCGTGAAAGAGTCAGCCAATCAGCTCCCAGCACCTTTCAATTAATAGTTGAGTAATACAGAATGTTGTGGTTTTATTTGTTTCAAAAAAAAAAAAAAAAACTTATACTAATCATTAAAACTTTGTACCCACGTTTTAATTATAGAATATCTTTACAGTTAAAAAATAAACAATTCTCATTGGTGGTGCCCAAAGTCAGGACTAAACATGGAAAGGTCAGTGTTCAGAGACACACTCCTGAATGATGGGAGGTTTGTAGAGTGCTCAGCCAGGTCACAGAGTGAACATTCATCTGGTGCTCTTCATCTTCAAGATCCCATGTGGAGAAAACTTTAAAGCAAAAACAGACCAGGTTACAGCAAATGAGTGCCTGAAATTATTAGATCAACGCAAACATCTTTGGACCAAAGTCTTCGATTAAAACCAGTTCTGTTAAAATTCCTTCAGTCGCATGCACATCTTATGTACTCTACTTGTTTTGCAAAATAGAGTTGCTTTGTGCAAAGAATTGTGCTATACCAATAAACTTCACATTTTAATTCATAACCTATTTATCCCACAGCGGAGAAATTTGTGTCATTGTCACATCACATTATAGGACAGTAGGAATATGAGCACTCAAAACACATCGATGTTTGATTCACACAAGATAACATGTTTTCACATCAGCTTTTTGGACCAGGGCAAAAGTAGACATTCCACCCTCCACATTGCGGCATGCACCTTCAACAAATAGATTTGCTGTCATGAACCATTTTTGTATTCTTTATTTTTGTTCTTGCCTCACGTTTCATACCATACCAGTAATGTTTATTTGTTGGGAACAGTGCATTTGTGTGTTACTAATGTGAATGTTCCATTATATACTTCTTAAATAAAATCTACAATGAACCCTGTAAACCAAATAGTGAACTTGATCATATTACTAGTTATGTTTGATATTTGATCAATATTTCTCTCAAACCAGCAAATCTTACAATTATGAATGGGTTGAAGAGTGGCTACATGTTGCCTAGAATCAGTCATTTGTAGTGCAAAGAATGAAATGTCCTGCAGTCTCAACTAGTTGTGTCTAGCATCTACTGCAGTGGAGCGATCACTGACGTAAATCCAAAGGAAAACAAGGCTCTAGTCCTCACTGTGGCTTCAGAAGGTCTAATCTGGCTGTTCTTTTCTCTGTCAGCAAAATAGCCCCAGACAACACAAGTGGGTTTTCTTTGTCTGATCTCAGAAGGGACACAGAGAGGCCCCCGACACGAAAACCCTGCAGAGTCAGCAAGTATTCTTTAGGAAAACAGTACAGACAAAACTTTTAATTTAAAAAAAATCATCAAGATATTTTAGAAACAAATCCTGTTTGGAACCAGGACTGCATACTTCTCGCATGTGGTTTGAGGAACTAAAAGGTGTGGCGATCATGTTATCTGCTCTTCTATAATCGGTTTATTGTTCACTTATCAGGCTATAGCCGTGCCCTAGGTTATGCACTAGTGTTTGGCCAGAGGCGGCATAGTGCCCAGACCTAAGGTTCAACAGATAGTGAGCAGTGGGCGTCCAGTCTGCCACTAATCAGCTCCAGCTCTTTTCCCTATTCCAGCCCAGATAACCCAACAAGCATGATGCAGGATGTGGCCCAGTAACCCAAGAAGAACCCAGGTACCAGGCTTATGGAGGCCCTTCTACTTTTTCATTATAAATCAAGTGAGCATGATTTCCATTATGTACCCATTTTATTTATATAATTTATTATCTGAAATCAATTTTCGTTTAATAAAGAGATGCTTTGCCACTTTTGTATTGGGAACCTGTCATCCTTAAGTTGCGCTGGACATGGCTCACACCATGGGACGATTGGCTTTTCGAAATCCCACTGGAAGAGAGAATTACAATTACAACCCAAGATAAATGATTGTATTCAAATGAAATGAATCTGATCATGTTGAAAATACATATTTTTGATAAGTGATGGCAGCATCCAATTTGATGAATAATGAAACCCTGCATTTGTGTGAGTAAAAAACATTTGACAAAATGAGTCATCAAAACAGATAGCTAAGGATACATTTAGTGGCAAACTCTAAGCCTCACGCCGACAGTCACAGCACAGGAGAGAATAAACATTCCCTAAAATAGCATGGCTTGCTACAGTCTTCTGGACTGTCTGGAGGCCCATTTTACAAACTTCCTACGCAGACAGACCCAGCCCTCTGTAGGACTTTAATCACAAATCTTTCAACAGAACAATTGGGGCACACGATTGTTCCGTGCTCCAGCACTCTGCACTTCAACAACACAAGTGCATTGTGCTAACATTTTATTTCTTTTTTCTCTCTCCAGCATTAAGTTACAGTGACTGGTTAAACATTAAAGAAGGTTTGTTTTCTCTTCACATATTTTTGGTTAATGTTAACTAGCAGTAAAAGGAATTGGCAGAGATATTTACTGCTTTATAGCTAGTTGGAAGGCCTTTCCCTGAAATAAAATCAAAACACAAACTTTAGAATAGATTTCAGGATGTGCAAGCACTGTAGTCTGTAAATATAGCCAATTAAAAAAACTAATATAAATATAATTTGTATGCCATTGTAGGGTTACAAACAAAAACTGACCTTTCTACTTCCTTTAGAAACATGTGATTATCACTGTGATTATCATAGAGTAAAAAGCTAGTAGAAAATATAATAGAATTCTTATATTTCCTACCATAGAACAAAATTAACCTATTTTGAAGGTTTTGACCCAAAAGTAGAAGATTCACCAGACCATTCCCTGATAGCTCTTTATGTTTTCAAAAATGATTAGTGTGGGTTTAAAAGCATATTTGCGTTATAAAAAGATTGTTAGTCTGAATGGAGCTGCTGAACTGCAAAACTGCAAAACAGATTTTGAACCCTTCGATGTCCGACAATAAAGTACTTATCTATGTACAGTATATTCTCAATGAGAAGAAAAAGCATGGGTTATTCGACAAAAAACTTGCCTCACACACACTTGCCATGTAACTCACCTTTCAACCCACTATAGCCAAATATAAAAGTAATTTAGATAATAAAAGCAAAGTGTTTAATAGGCTTAAAATGCGGGTCAGGTGAAGGAGGTCATTACACTACACTCACACCAAAGTCACTCAAGGTTTGTATGAGCTTCACTCTTGTTACAATACTTGATACGTTGTCATGATGCAAAGTGTGGGCTTTCGTACACACTGCCCTTTCCTTTATGAAATTGTTTTTGCATGTTGCATGGCTCTACATGGATAACAAAGCTCTTTTAGGCTGACTTTGAAAGCCAAAAATGTTGTTTGACTGTATTTTGACAAGTTCCACATCTTCCTCAAGGTGAAAAGGTGGTGTTACCCAGGGTTGGCACAGCATTTCAACCCAGGTAAAAAATAAAAAAAAAAGAATCATCAGTTATAAAAGCATATGGAAAGTTTAACTCAAAGTGCAAAACATGTAAAATAATTTCAGTTCAGGTGACCAAATTATCAGACAATGCGCCAGTCCATCAAAACATGGAAAAACACTGATGGTGCATAAAAGACTGTCATTATGGAAAATAAATATAAATTAGATTTTTTTTTCTTTATGAAATCAAAGTATTTACAACATCAATACAAGAATTATTTTCTCACCTCCAAGTCTGAGCTGACAACAGAAGAGTCGAAGGATGTGTCTGAAGAACACAAACAGTCTTCATCTTTCCCGCCCGCACTGTTGGGGACTTGCTCCTTTTTCACTGCTCTGGAGAAGTTGAATAGGACAGGGCTCTGTAGACAAGACAATGAATGCAATCAGAACTGTTTAGAATAATTACAGCCTATAATTGTGTACTAGCCCTAAACACAACCAATGCACACTTGAACTTACAGAGGAACAGCTCACATGCAAGTAACTGTGGGGCCCAGATAACTTCTCCACATTTTTCTTAAAATATGCAATGAACAAATTAAAAATAAATCAGTTCAGCAAAGTAATTAAGTTGAAATCTTATTACTTTAATCTGTGGCATGGAGTAAACTTTCTCTTCATTAGGCTCCTCATCCACAGCCATAGTTGATTGTCCCAGGAGACTAACAGAGTCTGGAGACAACACCAGCATCCCTTGTTTTTGACACAAATGAATGAGTACAATCTGAAACAGTAGGTTAAAGTTTAATAGGGACATGTAATAGAGCCTTAATTTTAAATCTTTACTCACCAAGTTACTTTCTCAAATTACCTGGGCTGACTAGAATTTATATAAAAACATTTGAACCTTCAGAGCCCTGTATGAATCGCCGTAGGGTAAAATTGTATCAAATATTACTTTCCACCTCATTATGCATGAGGGGGAGGCCTTGGTCTGAAGAAGTGAGGAGCCCACCATCCATCTCAATGGTTAGCGCATTGGGTAAGCTCATTGGTGGACTCACCCAATAGTGTTCAGAGCCCACTCGGTGCGGGATGTTGCGCTCCAATCACGATAAGCTGGCCTGAGGAGAGTAAATTTGTCTCTACCGCATTCACATAGGTAATTAGCCACTGGCCAAGCCACAGCGGAGTCCCTGTAGTGTCATTTAAATTAAGTGATTTCCATAAATATTACATTAACAGCAGTCCTTCCACTTGGCGTTACCACCATCAGTAAGATTTGTTAAAAGGTGAAAAGTAGAGGCCTCAGCTGTCAATCAAGGATTTGATAACATTGCATCCAATAACGAACTTGTGGGAGCGGGTCTTGACACCTCAAAAAAGCTCTCTCCATCTTCAAATTTTGAAAAGTAACTCTGACCTTCACTTTTATGCAGTTAAAATCGGGAAGTGTTTTCATGAAGAACAATATGTGTATGAGTAAGGATATTATGAATGTCTTATTTGGATTGAATTTAACTGCACCTTGCACTCCCTAAAATTACTTTTATAAAAATAATTGTGAGGAAGTAATCGTTCTTATGCCATTAATTTATCATACACAGCAATTCAGAGTGCCCTTCTAAACAATATTCCAACTTAGTAATAGCATATACACTGAACAAACTCCACTGACTGTTCTGTAGCAACATCTAGTGGCCACAATGAGAATGCAAGAAGGATATCCCAAAGTTTGACCGTGGAAAAGGATACCAGCAGATCTATGATGGCACATAGAGCAGCTGCAAGCAACCAAGGCATTGTCCTCCAAATGAACACACTGCTGGTGTCATAAAGCAGTAAGGCAGCAACATAGCACGAGCCAGCTAGGGAGCGCAGCACCAGAGAAAACACCTGGGCTTTGGTCATCAAACGTTTTCTACCCTAATAAAATAATAAATGAACATTATATGCTACATTTTATAAATAGCGGATTTTCTGTAACTTACAACTCTGTAGAGAGCAGGAAATCTAGATGTAAAAGCTATTGCGAAGGACAGGATTCCAAGGACATATCCAAGAATATCAGAACTGTCCTGATGAAGCAATAGGAAAAGTTTATCCATCCAGCTTTCATTTGAGGGAATTTACATATACATATAATTCATGAATTACAACTGTTTCTTTCTTCTTCATTATTCCAACATTTTTGAGCATTTTCTTCATTTATACAACGCATTTCAAAAACCAAGGTTACAAAAGCGCTTTACAATTTTGGTGTCGTTTCCATCCATCATCCCTTCACCCATTCATTCTATTCATACATACTGTGTACATTTAAGTGGTAGAGGAAACCTTGGAGCACCTGGAGGAAGCCTAAGCAGACATACAAACTCCACATGCATTTGGAATACGTTACTATTAATTTTCAATATAGATCTACTGAATCACGTAAAACCTCAAAGAGAGGTGTTGCCAAATTAACGGTTTTGACGAATGAGCTCAATGTTTAAAGGAAATTCATGTCCCATTGCCTCATCAAAAAAATGACTATACCATCACCTACAGTGTGCAGTTTCAGAGTGTCGTAGATGTTAGTACCAAGATGTTAGTAGACGTTAGTCTGCCGCCTATAACTATTAAAGCTAAAAAATAAATAAAAAAAGAAGGTACTTTATGGCCCTCTGCATGAGCACAAGGAGCTTATGTGGTTAGTTAGCTGTAAGTAGTAAGCAATAAATCTATCCATGGATCCTTAGCCAAAATTATAACCTACAAGTATTATAACTTTTCGATCTTGATAGCATCTTTAATAGTGATGGTAGTTGTGGAAATGCAGTTGTAGCAGTAGTTCCATGTGGAAATTGTATGACTGAAGAAGTAATCTTATTAAATGGCCTTAGAGGAAATACATTAGAAATACTAGATTAATGTACTGAGTATAATTATTATTATTCCTACCTCCATTGGGACCTGCAGAAGTACTCTTTGTGTAGAGCTCCTGCCCATCTCAAAATTACCCAGTCTAACCTTGATAAATCCTCCAGTGGCCATAAATAAAGGCACCACATAGAGACGACTTCTTCGTCTCGCCCTCATTCTCATCCCTAAGACAGGGATAACGTTTGGATTTATGAATATGTGAATATGTGGTTGCCACATTTGCACTTGATCAACCATAGGTGGCAGCATTACCTGCTCTCGAGTTCCTACACAAACATATGGGGATGCACAATGTGATAAAAGACAGCGCATCCATTGCAACAGAAACAGTCGCTAAAACCACCTACAAAAACAAAAGAAGCCGATATTAAACATGTGCACTGTGTTCAACCAGTCTAAGGTCAGGTCGTCTCACCTGAATATGGAGTTGCCTGGATAGGATGGCTCCAATGGTGCCACAACTGTTCCCCAGAAGGCTGTAGAGAGAAACGGTGGCTTCTCTCCCACTTTCCACTTGATATCTGCATCTCTCATACCCCAGACTTCAAAAGAGATCGAAAATGCAATGGCAAATATTGCAGAAAAACGTATATTAGATTTGGAAGCAACTTACGCAGCATGGGACAACAGGAGAAGCAGTCCTGAAATGGAGCCAAGAGCGATAGAGCTGCAAACTTTTCCTCCTACGTCCAAGGTGAAACACGTGTTGGAGTCTTCCCAAAATGTTCCAAATGAATGCATGTCAAAGTTTGGGAAGTTTTTTTTGTTTTAATTCAAAGACCAAACGGGCGTTTGAAATTCAGAAGATGGAAAAGAAGGCAAGCTGACCTAGGTATTTGTTGAGGGGAGGGGCCCCGTCACACACGCAGGTGGATATATGGAGGACTATCAGTTCAAGATGAATTTGATTGTAGTTTTATGGAAAACAGACTTTATAAACCGCCACACACACTGTACCACTGAAACGTGACAAATAATGGGCCAATGTTGGTACTTTTTATTTCCAGCCATCTTGATGTAGCGGATTCAAAATATGACATTCAAATCTAGTTTAGAATAGGCAAAATGTTATACTAATACATAGGTCTACTTATTCTCATATTTCTTGTGGGTGTAAATTATGTACAAAAACCTTTCTATCTTTGGGTTGTGTTGATTAAAGCTGGAGTATCTAACTTGTTCATTATTACAAATCCACTGTTCCCACAGCAAGAGTCTTGTTTAAATAACATTTTGTCTACATGCCGTCTTTATTTTATTAGAAAACATGTTATCCTTTACATCACTGAATAAGCTCATCGTAAGACATGAAAACTGGTGAAAGAATCAAACTGGTTACTGGGTTTGTTTTATTTTATTTTTTATGTTGTGGTTATAAAGCTAGGTACTCCAGCTATATAAACGCTGCACATTATTTTAAAATCATCATCAATAGAGAATGTTGTTCAGGCATCCAGATGCTTGGTGATTCGCCGTACTTTCTCTTTTTTATTTCTGTTCCCATGTTTTTTCCAAGGTTTCCCAACTGCTGCATCAGGTGCCACTGGCAAAGGTCCAACCACACCACTTCCTGGTTTGTAGCCCATGATAGACTGAACTCCTTTAGATAAAGCTCGGACATTTTCCTACAAATAGTAATATACAAACTTCATCAGACACAGATCAAGGAAACCTGGAAGGACAAACAAGTGCAACTCACCTGATGGAAAAAGTTCTTGTCCACAGTGTTTTCAATCCTTCTAATTTTTGTATTTTTGTTTTTAACTGCAGAATTGTTGATTTGATCTGGATCCATTATCTGAAAGTTGCTGTGCTGTGGCTGAAAATCTTTAGGATTTACATTTGGTGGAGGGTGGCAGTATAAAAGCTTTCCCTGGCAGACAGAAAAATAATTTACTCCATTATAAAGTGTACAGATATAATGTTATAATCCAGAAGCGAAACATACATTTACATAATCCTTAAGTATGTAGCGAGCAGATCTTGGCTGATCAGGTTGGCCATGAGAAGTCATGAAGCCTCTCATGTCTGAAATAAACACTCAAATTAACATTAACATTCCCTATTAAGCAATGTGAAAGGACAAAAGTCTTACAGCCATAAGCAGTGAGCAGTTCCTCTGAGGTTGCTGGTCTGTCAGGATCTTCATCTTCCCTAGGGCGAATTATGTTAACACCGTACGTCCCTTCGAATACGTGGCGAGGGATTGTCTGACATACGTTCAATGTGCTCAGGATAATATATGAGATGAAATATGATATGGTATAAGGTTCAGTATGGCTAAAATTTCATGACTAACCCTAGGATTAAACTTGTAGTGCAAGGATATTTGAGATACAGCAGGGACATGGTCTCTCATTTGGTCGATTGATAATATCCCACAGCAGATCATCTCTGCTTTGGTAGAAACAAATGAGGGCATAACTAGACCAGGGCAGTCACACAGGCAGAGCCCTGGCTCCACATACAGAGTCTGTTAAAGAAAATTTGTTAAATTAGCCCACTAAAAATAAAAGACAATTATGTGAAATTTAATATGTACCTGAAAGTGCTTGGTGTGGCCAGGAGTAGCTGAAACTGAAACCTTTTTGTCTCTTAGAATAGTGTTTATAGTAGAGCTCTTTCCAACATTAGGATAACCAACCTAGGAAACCCAATGTGTTACATACATAATACAGTGACAAGGTTAGTATTTTCTTTAATAGCTCATCTCTACATACCAGACCCACAGTTAGATGTCCTTCTTTAAATCGCCTGCCACTGTGAACTGACTTGAACACAGACAGAAGTTCTTCTTTGTGCAGCAGTCGGCTGGAGTTATGGAAGGAGGATTCATTTGACGACATACCAGCTTCTTCATCATCTTCCTCGGAGCAGCTTTTCCAGTCTTCTTCATCTACGTTTACATCGTTCTCTTCTTCACCGGAACTGGACATTCCTGCTTCATTATTAATTTCTTTTGAGTCACCCTGTGTATCCTCTTCATTATCACTCTCTTCAGGCTCCTCATCCTCGATTTCTATCCCCTGTAAAATGACATGCCCAGTCCTATAATATTGAAAATCATGTTTTCCCCCAATAGTGACAAACCCGTTACCTTTTCCTCTGCATCTAATCGATTGCTTTCAGCCAAAGCAGACCAGAAAACAGTCTTCAGTCCTTCTCGTTCAAAATACTTGGCCCAGACTTTCCTTTGCTTCCTGGTGAGCAGATCTGCTTTGTTGATCAAAAGCATGTTCACCTTATCTTTTGAGACCTCATTTACATACAATTCCTGTGTGAGAAAATGTGAGATAATAAATCACACAATGTTTCATTACATTAATTGAAAAACTTGTCTAAAACATTACTTACAAGATCAGGGCATCTAAACAGCAATGGGTTCCTTCCATCCACTATTTGAACAATTACATCACTAGAATAGCCATGCATACAGTTATTTTAACATTGAATGGTAAAAGAGAAAAATAACTAACAGAAGTTAATACAGTCATTGTCTATTCTCTAAACAATCCAAAGAATAATGGCTTACCTCCTTTCGATTACTCTCCACAGCTGTCTCCAAAACTCCAAGTTCCTCTCAAAAGGAGTAAGGATCAACTTCTGCTCCTCTTCCAGTCTTCAAGTGATAAATAATTAAAACAAATAAATACCACACCAATAGTTCCTTTATAATATACTTTGACCATGTTCATAAAAACAAAAAAAAGTGCTTTTGGAAGGAAAACACAATTGTAAAATGTAGCACTTACTGGGCAAGTTCTCGTCTCCACTGCAAAAAGCTGTCCTTTTCTGCAGTTTGTAGGGCTTCTGGGCTTGTACTTTCATCCCAGTTGGGTCTGAAATAAACCATCACACAGTGATAGGCCTGCTACTGTTTAGTTTTATGTTTTCTACATATTATTCACCAACCTGCGAGGAATTCTGAGAAAATGTTTATTGTCCTCATGCAACTTCTTCAACCTTGTCTTCTCTTCAGAAGTTAATACACCTGCTCTTGCCTCAGCGGGTACAAACGCAATATTGAGTTTCTCTGTAAAAGCAGATGAAATTGAGTGTACAGATGTAGCAGTCTAGTCTAGACATTTACGTTATGTGGCATTTCTTACCAGCTATAAACTCTGTTCCCGCAAGCTCTGCAGTTGCCAGAAAATCATCCATAGAGCTCTGCTCTGTCACTGACTGCAGGTTCAACCTCCCCCAGTCATATCCATCATTGAGTTCACTAGTGTGGAGCTGAAAGCAATCATATCTCATTTTAATCGTAATCATCATATGTGACGGTGACGAATGACTTCCATGTCTGATATCAGAAGGATATAGTGGTCATGTCATATCGCAGTGACCGTAGTGTGGCTGAAGCACTCACCCATGAGGAGTCTCTCCTGTTCCCCCGCACAGACTGAAGTCTCTCCTTAATCAGCGCTCTGCCGAGGCCACCTCCCGCCGCTTTCTTTTTACCCATTTCAAAACGTGTTCAACTCGTGTACAACAGAGAAAAGTGTGATCAGAGTTCACTCACATGTGTGAGCTGTTGTTGACGTGAAGAGCGGAAATGGGAGAAACTATCGGAGGACTACTTTTCATAATGCAAATTGTGAATACAATATTGTGATTCAGATTTTTTTGATATATCTCCATACAAAAATTCAACTTCACCATTAGGTATTTCTGTAATGACTCACTCTTGAATACATAAAGTAACAAGACTTTGTTCAAGTAATTTTTGATTGTCGTGGTACATTCTCTTCGTTCAGCACTTAATATGCCCGGGTGAAACTTCATCCTCAGTATATGGTTCCTGACACAGTGTGTAAATGGCACACATCTGACTCGGACCTGTAATCAATACAAGCGATAGACCAAACAAACACCGCGTTTGATTTTTTGTCTAACAAATATAAAACAATGTTCATAATTATACACGTCACTAGTTCAAGAATAGCACTTCGTATCTTAGCCAGCAGGTGGCAGCCACAATCCAGGTGCATTAATGCCAATGATTCTCCAACTTCCCAGATTGTGATATAATATTAATTTCATAGATGCATTGATAGTTCCATCAAATCATTTAAAATGTTTTTCCTACAAACGATTTACTTTGTAATGCTCTACACTAATAACCATCCAAATAACTCAGGTAAAACTCAAGAAAAAATTCAAAATATGACTAATTACAATCAAAGTTACGTTACATGCATATATAATCACTTACATTTGCATGTTTGCTTTGTTTTCTCGCCTGTTGAGGAAACAATGATGATTGTTATAATTGATTTAACTTGTGGGGAACAAAAAAATGCTTTCTGTCTCCTGAATAGTTTAGTAGAATGATATTTATCTGATTAACTAAAAATTACAGTTTATTGTCCAAAACAAATATTTATAAATAATTGCTGTCAAATCGAATTGAAGAAGTTCAAAGTTGAGTGTCTTGTCAATTTAGTGAGTGGCAAATGTGTAAAGTATTTAGATGAAGAATTTAGTTTGAACGTCATCATGGTGTGACTCAGTTAAATTTTATAATAAGCTTTATTGTAGAACACATATATTATATTTGTATTGCAGTAACTACATAGATATACTACAATTGACTAGACTGCTACAGACTGTCTATTACAAGCACTGTCAAACCTACAGGTAAGTTATAATATATGCAATCTATGGGTTCGTTTTGTGGGCTATTAGGTGCATAGTATACATAAATGGGGGAGCCACAAGAACACTTTTTTGTTAGAACCCTGATTGTTGAGTTGGGATGTTACTGAAGGCAACGTCAAAGCCTCGAAAACATCCACACAATGACCACACTTGGAATACTTGGTTGATTCCTCGCCCCACCCCTGCAGCGCTCCTGATGGTTTGCTCCAGTGTATAACAAGAGAGGAGCGCCTCAGTGCAGCCAGCAGACTCCACGATGCCACAGGAGGGAACAGACGCAGTGAAGAGCGGCTCTATGGATAGACAGCTGAAGTACGATGTCTCCTTATGTACTTGTCCTTTAGAGTAGAGTAGAATGTCTTGACTCAACATTGAACTCCCTTAGATCTGGTAACAACACCCTGTTTCTGTCTCTCTCAGTAGACGTTGTTGCTGTTGATTGGGAACACAAAATGCTGCCTTGGAAGAAGAATAAGTTTGACCTGATAGAGGAAGACAAGCAGTCCAAGCAAAAGGGCTATGCGGTGAGTCTGAACTACTCTGCGCTCACTTCTTTTGCCAAGTCGTGTCCCGAGAGCGCGCTCAGCAGGGTCGGAAGCATGTTCAAGTCCAAGAGGAAAAAGGTGAAGATCACCAGCGAGGACCCAACCTACACTGTGCTCTACCTGGGAAACGCCACGACCATCCAGTCCAAAGGAGACGGCTGCACCGATGTGGCCGTGAGCAAGATCTGGGCCAAGAGTGAGATGGGAAAGAATGGTACAAAAATGAGACTGACCATCAGCTCGCAGGGTATCCGCATGGTGCATGTGGACGATAAACCCCGCAGACCAGGACACCTGTACCTATTACACCGGATTACCTACTGTGTGGCGGACCCGAGGCTGCCCAAAATATTCGCTTGGATATACAGACACGAGATGAAGCATAAGGCAGTTATGCTGCGTTGCCATGCGGTGCTTGTGTCCAAACCAGAGAAGGCAAAAGCTATGGCACTGCTGCTGTACCAAACCTCTGCCACGGCTCTTGCAGAGTTTAAAAGACTGAAGCGCAGGGATGATGCTCGGCACCAGCAGCAGCAGCTGATCGGGGAGCAGACCATTCCACTGGTCCCTCTCAGAAAGCTGCTAAACGGACAGTGTTATTACAAACCACCGGTGGAGCGCAGTCGCAGCGCGCCCAAGTTGGGCTCCATCACAGAGGACTTGGTTGGAGAAGAGGAGGAGGAAAAGTCCATGCACTTTGAATGTGAGGACATTTTGGACAATGACTGTAATGAGAAACAGGAGCTTACTCAGATCATTAATGACTTGGGGGAGATGAGCATAGGGAACGATGTGCAGTCTCTGAAAGCGGACCTCAGGGTGACCCGACTACTGTCTGGTGAAAGTACGGGCAGTGACTCCTCTATAGAAAGCAACCAAGAGCCTCCTCACCTCACAAATGGTTTGGAGGAACTTAAGATCAAGGAAGTTGCCCAGTTATCTTGAACTCCCTGAAACTTTACTTTGTTGAGCCAAGTTATTTCCAGGAGAGTGTCCATCACGTTATGAGCATGCTTGTGTGTAGGTTTGTGCCTCACTGTAGTGTCCACACATGCGGGTCAAACACAGAGTTGAAACACGTGCGTGCTGGACTGGCCAGCAAAATCCCAGCACGCACTACACTAAATCCATCTTTTATTTAAGAGGATTTGCTGCAGCCTCTGGCTTGTTTACCAACAGCTCCCTCTTTTACATTTGTGTTCCAATGTTCTAAAACCTTTGGTTTTGACTCTTTTTTTGTAGTTGTCAAAGGCATTCTATTTTTTGAATGCTATTGTTACAAGCAATGTATTTTTTGATTTTGCACTGTTGTGAAAGTATTCCTTTGGCCACACTGTGTGTCTGCTATGTTGTCTGAAACATATGTGTTATATTTTTGCTGTGCAAAAGACCGTTTATTGAAATGTTAAATATAAAGGATATCTGTTATTTTCTAAAGAAGAGAAAGTGTGGTTTGTTATGTGAACCTCAGCAACAATAAAAAGTCATTTTATTAAAACATTCTTGTGCTGTATTAACATAGCTGTTCTAAAATGTCATGTTGGTTTTGTGAAGTGACTAATCATGTGTTTTGAGAGATTTTCCTATTCCAAAGATAATTTTTTTTACATTAAAGTATTAATTGCCATGGCAACAGTCCAGCTGCTCATATTAAACCTTTCAGCACAATTATATTGTCTTTTTAATTTGTTTTATGACCTATCACATGTTTCCTTACATGGGACAGGTCATAAAAGTCAAACACTATGATAGATACATATAGTCCAAAATGATGATCACTTTCTAACATGGTTTAACTAGTTAGAAACAAGCTAAACATATTCATAAAATCATTTTAAATATCAACAAAAGTACACATTTACCTACTCAAAATGTCAATTACAAACTAGTTCACCATAACTCAGCATAAACTCAACTGGAGTAAGACAATGTATAGCATTCTTCTGCCTACAACCACGTCTTCTCTGCAGCATTTTCCTGTATAGTCACAACAGGTCTGAATAAGACATGAGCACAGGGAGGCAACAGCAACCAGAGATACATGTTTAGAATACATTGAGCTGGCTCTGACTAATGGATCAAGGTAAAAATAGCTTGTCCCTGAAGTAATTAATTAATTCAAAAGGTTAAAGTATTTAAACTCATAGAATGGTACCTATATTATCATACACACTATTCATTCATATATATTATTTCAATATAAAAGAAGCAACCCACAGGCTGCTGTCAGTGCTGACCTGTTTTTTAACTTATATAATTACAGCCTGCTGAAGCTATGGTCTATGCAACAGGCTATAGCTCATTATGGTCAAAGACATAAGAGGAGCGCTCCCCAGTGACCTACATTTCGACTTGGCTCATGTAATAATGTCTCAGTTAACTATACGTGAGCCTCTCAAACAATGAAAGGCTTTGGTTTGGCCTGAAACCTGCTATAATGTTTTTGGTAGAGATAAGAGCTATATCTCTGAGGCTTGTTAAAAATCACATTCAGTGCTGTTCCCCTCGCACTTGCGGTGAGACATTTGCTTTGCCCTGTGTCAGGCAAGAATGAGTCACAGGGGAAAAGAGCAAAAATAATGAATACATTTGCTGAATTCATTGTTTCATTGCTTATCTACAGACTGCTATTCCTTTGAATATTGAGATGTCTTTAGAGCTTAAGTCTGGGAATCCAGAAATACATAATTGAATTAAAATGTTGACATGAGCTAACAGTATCCTTCTGAAACAAAGAAAACAATGTGAATGGACATTTTGACAATCACCCACATAATAGCTGTTTGAAAACACATACTGTTGTGCCGTTATACAGGAGATAAAATGCTCGCTTTTGTGTTTATAGACAACAATAGATTCCTCCTAGGAACTCTCTTGTTGGCAGTTCCTGAAAAGCATCACTGCGGACAGCCCAGCACACAACACACACTCATTATTAAGCATGCTACTAAATCTCTTTGTCCATAATGCATGAGGGGACACCAGACTAGTCTTGGATCTGATTACACTTGAGATGGTAAATCAGGGCGTGAGGCATCTTTCCTTTAAAAACATAGTTACACACAAGTGACTCTGGAAATAGCATCGACACGCTGTTACAGGCCCTGCACTCACTAGAGACTGTGCTTAGGACAGGTGGAAAGATATACAACATCCTACTTATAACATACAGGTGTGTTATTAAGAAGTCTTCAATCACAGAAAATACAAGGAAGCAAGTGCATAAACTGTTATTAGACCCGACAGACTATACAGGCCGTCAAGTTTAAGGAGGATGGTGGCGCCCCATCTGAAAAATCTTTAAAAATCAAGGTGTCTGGAAGAGGAAAAAATTGTACAGTATGTGTTGCACAATTGAAATGTGGTGAGCAGTTTTTTATGTCAGGAATAGAAATGAAATGACAAGGTATTTTTAACTCAATGCATATTGTTTCTTTGGCTTGTTACTAATAATCAATAGTTGCATGTACTTATTGTTTTGAGTAATGCTTTCTCTCACACTCAAGATCTCAAGTAAACTTAACATGATTTGTTTAGTTTTTGATTTTGTTGCAATCGGTTCCCCAAAGCGGCGTATTGATAACAAGTACATGGGCATCACTTTGTTTTAGTCAAACACTGGATCTTGCATTGACTTGGAGAGGTCAACATATTTTCTTAAACCAACCCTGACCATAAAATCATGTATAATTAAGGAATGTACATTTTAAAGCCACATTATAAACAAGAGGCAGGTATCAGACCACTTCCGCCACTATCACCAAACTTTTGAGGAATGCATCTTTTTATTCAAGTTCAAGCTCCAAGCTCAAGTCCAAGCTCATCGCTCAGAGGAGACAGGAGCCTTCTTGTCCTTGTCTCCAGCTCATATCTCTGCAGGACTCCATACACTCACACACTCTCACACACTCTCACACACTCTCACACTCTCACACACTCACACACACACACACACACACACACACACACACACACACACACACACACACACACACACCACCCTGTAGCCCTCTATGTAATAAGCCGTGGGTCTGCGGACCGTGAGCTGTGGCCTAGAACCCATTCAGAACCAGCGCAGCTCTTGTTTTGCGCTCACACCGACACAAAAGCTGTGCCCCTGGAGAGCCATAGATTTCAGGAGGGTTATTTCAGTCTTTCCGTTCAAGGAGAGGAAATGTAATAATAACAGGAGGTAAAGAGAATACATGAACACAGTAGCAGCCTGTACTGAATGAGCAAATAGGGCATAGCGATGGTTATGCTTCCTTGTATGTATAGTCAGTTCAGGTTTCATTGAGTCTTTTCTTCCCCCGGAGCTGCTTCACTCAATCTAGGTCTATATCATTCACTAATTGAGGGTAAGTTTAAATGTAGGTATCATAAAGGTGTAATTCATTCATTCATACACTTTGTAAACACGATCAATCAACGATCCACCTTAGCATGGGAGAATATCTAAATTGATTAGAAAACAACTGCTGTTTTTTTGTTTGTGCAAAGCTAAATGATTGGGCCAGTGGTGTATATTGGCTGGTTGGTGTTGGCCCTCATAGATCTCCTGTTTAAATGTCTCAGCTGCGTTCTATTTTACTGAAAACATGCAACGCAACCACAATGTAAAGGCACGTTTAATTACTGTATTGCACACTTCATTCACTCAAACTCAAAGTGTTTTACGAAAAGGGAAACGTTATAATAATAAATAATGACACAACAGTCATTTAAAAAGACAAACTGAGACAATCTTTCACAAAAGCTCACCTCACATTTTTAGGAAGACTGTTCCACTAACATCCAACTCACTGTCTTAATCAATTACTTTCTTTCTTTTTAAAACCCAATATTACACTTTTTCAAATAAAATACAGAATACAAATAGCCATCTTTCTGATGGATTGGCCTATTTATTTAAAGAAGGGGACGATTTAACATGTCCAAATAAATAGGGCCATAAGGTCATTCTGGTTAGGGTTTTAAAGAACAGTTAAGAAACACAGACAAATAGTGTAAAGACAAGCCTGAGAAGAACACCATTCATCTATCCATCCATTTTCTTCCACTTCATCCGTTGCCGGGTTGCAGGGGCAGCAGTCTAAGCAGAGATGCCCAGACTTCCCTATCCCCACACACTTCCTCCAACCCCAAGGCGTTCCCAGGCCAGCTGAGAGACATAGTCCCTCCAGCGTGTCCTGGGTCTTCCCCGGGGTCTCCTCCCGGTGGGACGTGCCCAAAACACCTCCCCAGGGAGGTGTCCGGGAGGCATCCGGAAACAGATGCCCGACCCACCTCAACTGGTTCCTCTCAACGTGAAGGAGCAGAGGCTCTACTCCGAGCTCCTCACGTGTGACTGAGCTCCTCACCTTATCTCTAAGGGAGCGCCCAGCCACTCTGAGGAGGAAGCTCATTTCGACCGCTTGTATCCGCGATCTCTGTGAGAAGAACACATCCAACATTATTGGTCACAACACATCCAGATTTAGTTTTATATGTCCCACTGCAGTTAAAGTTATTACATTATTGACTTTGTATGCTGTTTGTGCCTCACAGATTAACAGCTCAGAAAGGCACAGTCAGCAGCTGTAAAACACCTTCAGTTATCTCATGTAAACTTCACTGAAGAAAGACTGTACATTTAGCACTTTTTACATCCATAAGACAATATTACCTCCACAAATTTCCATCGGTAGTTCAATTTGGAGAGACGAGAAACAAGAAGCTTTGAGTATTTTATTGGGAGGAGGTTTGGCACCCTAGGCCCCGGTGCGGCCTTCGGATCGGAGGGCCTCCATGCAAAGGAGCGAGCCAATCCCCAAAAAGGTTGTGAGTTGATGGAGTTTTGCAGCCTGGTTTGGAGGGGACAGACGTCGAGACTACTCTATGCTGTGACCGCTATCGCTATATGCTGTGACCGCTATCGCTATATGCTGTGACCGCTATCGCTATAT